AGTCAAGACTATGCAAACCTAATGCCAGGATCTTAGAGTTTATATTCAGCTGATCTCCCAGTGACTTAGTTGAGCCTTTAAACTGAATAATAATTTGCAATGTCTAGCTTTTTTAATGATCTGTACCTTTCAGAAAAGGCACTTGGGGTTTAGTCAAGCATCCCATTTTAACATAGGGTATGGTAACTGCATTCAACTGCTTTGTCACTAGAATTATACTGAATGCCTTTAGAATTAGTTGGTCAAATAGTTTTAGAAGAAGAGCAGTGTGTGTCAAAGTGTTATAGAGTGTGTTTCATGAAAGCAGGTGATGCACCAGTGTGGGTGTATTATATATCACTCTAATAAGTGAGAGAGTGTTCTGAGCCAGGTGTAGGTGTGATGCATGAAAATGAAATGGCTTTCAGGCAATCATCTTGGTTTATGCAGGAACTTAATTTCTGTGTAAATGCATCCTGTTGTTCCTAGAATTATACCTATAAAGTTTGTAATTTATTTGACTTTTTTATTCTTTGGAAGAACAGTAGCTTGCATGATAGGCCATGTTTTTTCAAAATCAGTTACTCATTCATTGAAGTTATCATTATAGTTTTTTTTAACTTTTTGGTTTGAACTTTTCAAGTAAAATAAAATACATAAAGTCCACCAAGTTTTGATTTAAGAGGTTCAGCACTTCAACTTTGAAATTGTTTTTGAATATATAGGACAGGCCACAATTGTTTTTGAAGCAGGATCCTAATATCGGTCGCATGTCTGTATTTATACGTTCCAGTACATCTGACCCAAACAAAGTTGCCTGGCAGTCCAGACACACAAAACAGTGGGAAGAAAAAAAACATCCTTACAGTTACTATGGGCCTCCACTAGTAGGAAGCACAATTATCACTTTATCAACAAAATCTGCTCTAGATTTCTTCGTTGTAGATTCCGGCACAGGAATTAGTGCTCTCCATTCACAGGCAGATCAGGAGACACTCCATTGTTAAGGATACACCTGCAGCCAGACAGCAGCCCGCCTTGATCTATAGGCTGTCAGTGTATGCCTAGGCAGTAATTTGAAGTGAAAGCGATACTGCTGAAACCCAGGCCAATGGAGGTAGGTTTTCACTCTCCACATCAAACACAAACCTCGGGCTCTGTTAGGGAGACAGAGTGCACCATATATCTATTTAAATGCCTCGCGCCCCAGTGATCACGGAGCAGTGAAACCCGAGCTCCTGGGTCCAAGAGGATGGCTCACACAAGTGAAAGCACAAGTCATCCTGACTCTCAGGTATCTGTAAAATATTCTGAGTGTCTCCCTCCCAAACGAGAACCCTGCTATCAAAACTTAATTAGGGAACCCCCTCTGTCTCTCCAGACATGAGGGGCACATTTCTGCTACACAGCAGCGGCCTTCCCTGTAGTCAAGAAATAATGGCTGAAGTTCATGCACCAAGCACTGCTTTAAAGCTTTGCTCAAGGAAATTCATTTTACTTTTGAAAAGGGTTTGTTTATCCAAAATATAGCAATGTTTCCGCATTTTAATATATTTTTATTTGTTCAGGTATTCCCAAAATATAATTGGATTTATTTTGCACTGCATTTTCAAATCTCGATTATAATTGGAGTATGTTTTGTTTTCAAGATCAGTGATAAAATATTTTATATTTTTACTTTACCCTGTCACATTTCTAGCAAATAATATGATAGCTAATGTTTCTTGCAATATTACTATAATAAACAAGAACTGAAATAATCTTCTTGTTGTTAAATGTTACTGTCATTTGCTAACCATTTTTTATATAGTATATATAAAGACAGCAAAACCTTGGAAAAAAAAGTTAATGTGTGACACAGTAGAAGAAATGCATAAATTGTATGTCTGTGCCGGTATATTTTTTCTTTGTCTGTCATTATGCACAGGTACTTGTGCCAAAAGCGCAGAATGTTTCTGAAATTGACTTCTTCATCTCAGTGAAGACAGAGCCTGAATTCGAAAAGAAATTCTTGAAGCAACGCCTAAATAATAGTGTGCAGTTCTAGGCACAGGAGGTTTCTGCTCCTGGCGTATGATCATACACTGCTGTCCTTCAAGAGCAAGCTGTGCATTTGCTAACCTAATTATGGGCTGTTACTGTGTGAGTGACAGTTTCTTCAAGTGTCGGTTCGAAAATAAGAGAGCTAGTGTACCATATGTATGTGCGCGTGTGCTCCTAACATATAATGAATACTTTGGCTTAGTTGTATGTGTTGTTATTCAATCAGTTATGTTCTATTTTTGTCTTTAGATGATCTTGGTTATATTTCAGGCTCTGACATTTTTTTGTAATTATGTACTGTATAGTTATGTGATACTTTGATTTTCTTTGTTAATGTTTCCTAAGGTTTTAATAAAAGTTAATGAAGTGCCATCAGAGTTCTCTTATAGTCCCCAAGCTGATTTGTGCTGCAACAGGGTGGTGTGATAACGAAATGAATAATTACAGTCTTTAGAGGTCACGAGCCATGGTTCCTCTCAATGCTATGTTGATTTCATGGTATTTTTTGGTATATTGAGACTGCACTTATAGTGAACCCTTAGAGGGCTATGATGTTAGTTGTGATCTATCTGTTCAACCAGTCCTTCTGCTTTAACCCGTAGGACACAATGTGTCTCCTATAGCTCTTAAAGAGTTTCCTACTTTAGTTAAACTATGTGATTAGAAAGAAATTAGCTTGCGGTCCCTCTTTTGTTACCACTACATATATGCTCTGTATAGCTGTCAGATAACGCAATACAAAATCCCCTTTCGCTGCCCTTCTTTTCTAACTATCTCCTTAAACCAGAGGAAACTAATTGTTCATAAGAATAGGGATTTGGTTCCCAGGTACAAATGCAGCTTGAAGAAAAACGGCTTACAGCCCATTGCAGAGCTGCCAACCTGTAATTAGACACACATCCTAATTAAGCAATCCAAAGAGAAAAGAACAAGTGAATGCTCTTAATTATGCATTCCGTGTGTGTATGAGGCATTCTTTTGAAAGTTGTTTTTTCTGCCTTATTTTGTAGAGCTTGGAAGCACACAAAAACAGAACATGGAGCCTGGGTGAATGCAGAGGCCTTAGGTGAATGGTTGCATTGCACAAGAAGACTTACTTGGACTCTCAGCTGGTTGACTAAAACCTTCGTAGCAAGCAGCATAGCTAGGACCCTAAGAAATTCTTAATAAGTCAAACATGAGTTTAAAACATTTCTGATTTTTTTCAGGAAAGGACCTGAAATAATACCTCACTGTCTTCCCTTCTTATGACCTTCCCTTTTTGGAAGGGGTGAGGGGCTGTTCTGGGGTGATGGCTCCCCGTGGCACACAGCCAGGATAAGAAATGTGGGATAAAAATGGGCTCCACTCCTGTAAGCCTATGACTCACTCTGGGTGGATTTAACCAGTGCAACAAGAGCAACAGCCTATTGTAAAATAAAAGTCTGCTTTTTTACTGTTTATTAATCTCATTACTTGTCAGGCTGACATTATGTTACAGAATCTATTTTTCTGAACTCATGAACAGATTAGATAGAACCAAGCCACGCTCTGCAGTTCTATACACTATAACACGTCGTGTGTGTTTTTGTCTTGACTGAGTCTTCCCATTGACTTCCACTCTATTTTTTATTAACTTCTCTATTTAACCTTAGCGAAACTTGGCCATGAGAGCTCGTACATTCAGAAAGTATAGTTTGGGCACTTTTAGTTCAAAAAGAAAATGTTATTTGGCTTATGTTAAATGAAGTTATGTTGTGTGGTTGTCCCTACACAACCTCATCTTCATCCTTTTTGTCAGTGGTTACTATCTTTGTGTGAACATTTTCTCAGATTCTGTCCCTGAATTGATTAACACACACACTCCTACCCACCACACAGGTGGAAAAAAAGATAGATAATGGTGGTTTAAGGATAGCATTCATAATACAGTATATAGTCAGTTTCAGAACTGGTGTGATTGATTTAAACCTGGGCTATTGTTAATTATTGAATGGCAAATACATTTTTGATTAAACTTATTTGTATGTGTTTGATGAAAAATCACCTAGAGACATGTAATGACGGCCAGTACTTTCCTGTACGTGACATACTTCACTAATTAGGACAGTTTTCTTTGTACTGCCATTTACTTTAATCTAGTGTCGCATTTACGGTGTTTCCGCCATTGCTGTCTGGCTGAAATGGAACTACAATTAGTGAAACACGTGACAGTCTGCTTTACAAATCGCAGTTCTCGATATACAAAGCCCTCTCTCTCCCCTGCTGGGCATCGTAATTATCACGGAAACATTGTTGACTGATAAACAGCAGAAAACAAGTCTTAGGGACAGTTTCAAACTGTTTTTTAAAAATGCCGGTATGTCTAAAACAAAACCATTTTTTAAATGGCAGTCGTTCAAGTGATGTTTGTTTATTTTTTAAGAACCAGACCAGACAAATCTTAGCATGTGAATACTTTGGTGGTGCGGTTAGTTTCTGAATAACTCGTACAGTACGTTGCCGTACTATTTAATATATATATTTAGAAAACGAACGTTCAGAGCCCCCAAGGTAAAAAAAAAGGCAAAAGATGAAAGTAATTAAAAAATAAAAATATTATCGCTCTTCCAGAATTGCGCATTTCGCTCTTGGGTCTGTGTGCGACGAGGATACTTAGAAGCCTTCTGTATCAAGATGCTTCGGACTGTGTATTTAAACGTTTTTGCTCTTGCCTGTGGCACAATATACTGTACAAATGTGTTCTCAAGCTGAAATAAGGAAACAACCACAATATTTTCGGTAAAATAAAAAAAAAGTATCAGTATTAAAAACCAGCGCGATTGACGGGGAAATAAATGCACAACATTTATGGCTTATCACCTACTAACTAATAACTGTACTTTGTGTTATATGTCGCTGTGAACAGGGAAAATTGCTTGACCCAAACGAGTTCTTCATTTCGATTTTTGTATGCTAGATGTGTAGCTCAAAAGACACCTCCTGTAGCTCTCCTCGGAGCTCTGTTTCAGTAAACTGTTCTATTCCCTGTACAGACAAATGTGGCTCCTATAAGATCTCTTGAACGTGATGATTAAGCCCACGGCATCATCTGCTTTCCCCACCCTCGCCAGCTCGTCCCTCCCTACTGCGAAGCCCTGGCCGTCTGTCCCATTAAAGCTACTGGAAGCGATTTCAGCACCGGGACAGATCCTGCACTGTCTAATGGCAACATGGCGACAGAGGTAAGAAACTGCGAGCTTTTTCTTTCATTGAGAAGCCCTTTCTGGTCCAGCACCTGAAATACTAACGGGGATCGCTGGTGTTTATTTAGCAAGGTTGTATAAAAGTGCTCATGGAGCTTTTAATTATGTGTAAAACGACAAATAAAGAAGAGAGCGAGTTCATCGCAATGGGGGGACTTAGGAGACGCCAATGTGTAGTAAACAGAAGCGCACCTGCCCCTCATCTCCGCCGGAACAAAGGATATAAACGGGCCTGGATGTTATTTGCTCGGAGCCAGCAAAGAATGCAACGATATATAGGGAAAATAAGTATTTGCTTGTATTTCAAGATTATGCAATTATCTGTTATAATTGTTTGTCTTAGAACGACTACAAGTGTAATAGAGTTCTGTTACAGCAGTCACATTTTTAAATGTACTGAACTGCGGCAAACGGCAACATTTTATGCAGTATTGCAATGTGCGAGTTTTCACGTCTATCTAAAATGACTGCAGATTTCTGAAATCAGTTTATCTAATCCACTGCAGTGTGACACAGAGTAAGGAGTTTGTATATTACCGAATTTGGGTAAATTGAGCGTTCACATTGCACTGGCATAAACTCGGAACGTGCCATGCCTAAGAAAGACTACGAAACGTACTCAGTTATGTTATGCAATTAATGTGCTGTAATGTTTACAAAAATTAATGAAGAAATGAAAACTCGCAAACAGCACACTGTTTCAAAGCTACTGGCAAACTGTGGGAAATATTGTAGATTTATCCTGTGTTGTACACTTGTTTTTAGTGAAGGAAAAATCCTTGAACCTCATGACTGAAGTAAAGAAGTGTTTGTCAGTACCACGGAGAGTGGAGCTGTCATTGAGAATAGGTAGTGTGCTGCACAGTAAGATGGAAAAGTTGCCCTACTAGAAGTGAAGGCTGTCAGCACCGTGGACAGTAGCTCGTATACAGTAGCAAACATCGTGTTGATGTGCTGAGGAATTCTGAGTCGGACAATCTCTGGTCTGTTTTATTCATGTTGATGAGAGGTTGTGTTAGACGTTCTTAGGGAAAGCCTGCTTTTTAAATTAAAAAAATATATATATTTACATATATAACTACCTAGCCATTTTTACTGTAATTGTTTCTAGTGCCGTTTTTAAGCAGCATATTAATACATGCAGTCAGAACTAAAGATAAAAACCTAAACTTTATGGTTCAGGTAGGTTATGTTAACTTTTATACATATACTGTATATGCCTTATACAGTACAGAGGCCTTTGAAATATTGATTTCAAATAATCCCACAGGGCTTTATCTACAAATGAGTTTCATAACATTTACAACATTTCTTCTGCTGATATGCTCTGGCCCTGTGTTCTTAATGTACATCCTAGCAACCCCCACTCAGCTCACAAAAGTGGGAGAAAAACATATTTTAATAATATGCAGCTGAAGGGCTTAAAGAAGATTTTTTTTATTGCAAAAGAATGAAAACACAAATTTAAATTGTGTCAAACAGTACAGCAGCATATCGAAATGTGGTCTTAATAACCTTGCTTGTCATCAAGGGGTCTTGGCTTATCCTTAGGATCAGAGCAAAAACAAGCACATCTGGAATCCTTATTTGTGATTTTGAATATATTCCATACCAGGAGCATTCAAAATCTTTGCACATTCTTTCCCATTGTAGTGCAACACAAAAGCACAGAAGAAAACCTGTATAACTAAACTTGAAAAAAGTCTATAACTTCTTTAATTGGCAAGACTGTTCCTGAATTGCCATATTTCAGTAGGAAATTTACTTTTTAAAACCATATCAGTTCATCAACAGACAAGAAAGCACATGACTCTGGGTTTGGCATCTGTTCCTCACAGGGTTACCCTCAATAATATATGATACCCCAATTTATACAGCTGGGCACAGCAATTAGGTTAAAGTGCCTTACTCAAGGTGCAACAGCAGGGTCCACAGTAGGGACCTGAACCCTCAACCCAGCAGTCATCAGTCTGGAGACTCACCCACTACTGTATAGCACTTTGCCATATGTCTGTGTACAGTACTGTAGGTATTAGGATGTCAGGCGGAGTTCACCGGGATGAGATGCTGTACTCAAGTTGTATTTCTAAATACCTGGAAGTTCTGAATGCCATGTGATGGTGGCTTGTTCTATTCCTTCTAGTTAGTGAAGCTTTCAAAGTAGCTTCTTTTCATTTCCATGTCAGATAAAAATAAATTGATCAACCTGCCCTGACACAAGTTGTGTCTATAAAGCTGTTGCCTTGCAGTTAAAGCACTATTTCTTATGAAAAGCTTCTTTTGTGTCAGGAAGTGTTCTTTCAGGACCCTATGCAGACAACACAATCTGGGGAGCAGTGAGGAAAACATGGGGAAAAAAGCATACAAAGGGTCTGGAAGGAAAACGGGGGCGTGTCCATGGTGCGCTGGTGTTCAGGGGAGGTGTGGCCGAGGCAAACAGTCCAAGGGAGTCCGAGGCAAATCCATGAGTGTAGCAAAAGTCCAAGATCAGGTAATCCATCCTGACAGACAAACAGAGTTAAAAGCTGGAGCAAAGGGTCAGGGAAATAAAAGTGGGTAACGGGACCAGAAGCTCCCTAATCCCAGACTCAGAAGGTCAGGACGTCGTGATGAAGCCTGTGCCGTCGAGTCGCTCCTGGACTCATGGATAGGCAGGCTTCCGGTGGTCCATCTTCCAAAGCTGAGCCCAGATTGGCAGGAGCACCTGGCCTTCATAGGATGAGGGGCAGGAACCGGAGGCAGGTGCAGGGGTTGAGTACAGAACAAGGAAGGGCTGGAGTGTCCTTAAGAGGAAGGGTTTACGATTGTGACAGTATGGTTCAGTCGTTGAAAGATTTGAAAGGTATTAAAGAATATATCCAAATATAGTTGTTAAAAGCACACATCCTCTCATAAAAAGCTTATATTGCTATACATACAGTACATGTAGTCATCCTCTGGTTTTTAGATGGCCGTGGTTATTAAAGTTATAAAGATGTTGATGGCCAGAGGAATACCTGTGAGTAGCCTCAGCTCTCTGCATCACTGGCATGCTGGCAATGTTCATGACACAGATGTCCTCTGCCTAACAGAAGAACACAGGAGGTATTTATAGTAGGAGAAACACAAAGACAGATTTCTTCTTCATGGGGAAGAGATGGCGAGAATCAGATCTGAAGCTTGAGCTGAGTGATCAGAATAGAGATTCCGTAATCTTTGCGGAAAAAAATGGCATGTCACCAGTGGTTACTGTGTTCACAGCAGTTCTCCGCATCTGCTGTTTTCACTAAACATCTTAAACATAGCCTTGTCTTTGCACTTAGCAAACACCCACAGCCCATGCTAGAACACTTGTATATATTTTTTGCTAACTGAAAGGGCTAGAATAAGGTGGAAATCTGGTAATACCAATAGTTTACTTCTCGACTGGTTATTTTCAAATTAATGGTTGTGTGTAATGAACAGATCCATTCTATTCAGCCATGGAGATTTTTTTTGTCAGGAAATCAACCTTATGGATGCTACACACATGTTAAAGTTTGTTATTTTACTTCTGTGTGTCTAATATAAAAACAATAGACAAATACACCCTCATTTCAAGTGTCACATATTCTCTGGAATGGGTCTCCTTTTCATTCTGGGTTGAAGTCACATTCAAATGCAATGAAACTCTAATAGATATAATAGTGTATTTAGAATGTTGTGAAATTAGCTTTCTCAGCTAAAAGCAATGGTAATTGGTTTGTCTGCAACAGTTAATTGTGTACAGAAGCAATCCAGCTAAAAACGTGTCATGAAAAGGTCATTTGAAAAGGCACTACGTATGTATCACATTTATCCATACACTACTACAGTAGATATTTTTGGCTACAATATGCTTCAAGCCAATAAGACAGGAGTATTTATTTTTATTCAGTTAATGTGATGGTAATTCAAATGGTGTGACATTACCAGAAATTTCACAAAGTTATTAGCTGACCTGAAAGACAGCAGGAGTACTTGTTAAGTAGGAGCAAAATGAGAACAATGTTTTTTGTCCCCCTTAACAAAACAAAAGCTACTGTGGCCCCATTCTGTTGCAGTTCATTTAGTCCTTTAGAAGATTTCTATAATTCTTTTGCCCGTTCCCTTGGCATGCTTTCTGCATGCAAAGGCCATATGGGATCACATGAGCAATGTGCTGCATCGAAGCAGTGACAAGCCATTGGCTGCATCTCCAGAGCAACTAGGCAGGGTTTGATTAATAGCTTACTGAACATACTGCATCATTATAATTTTCTGTAACATAAAGAGTCAGCTATTTTTAGACCTTGTCGTACAGTGTGTGTTCACTCTATGCAGTTCTTTGTACTGTTCTGGTGTCCTCTCCAAGCATTACGTCAGGGGAGCCTTTGCAAGGAACGTGACCAATAAAGGAGAACATTTATTCAGATGCACATCTTTTTAAAAAAAAAGAGTTGTTCCAATTTGCCTTCGCTGGATGGGGAAAGATGAATAGACTGATCATCAATTATGGTATGATGAAAGCCCGTGTCCTTTTTTAAGTATATTTGATGGTTCAATGAAAATAGACAAAAAACACCCTTTTATTGCACTGTTTTACCCTTTACGCAGTAAAAAGGTAAATCCTGTTTTTATAATTCATAATTGTCTGAAAGGTGAATGGGAATATCCCATGTCTCTGCAAAACTATTTCCTGTATAAAAACAAAGGCAACCAAAATAATTGATGGCACAGAGACGTGCTGCCTTCAGTCACCACACACATTTGCACACACATCTGTGTGCTAAACATTTACAGTAGTTAACTATGTCTGGTTTTGTGATGACTGCATGGATTCAAACGATATGTTTTACAGCATCACACTGATCTCCTGTTGGCTTTGTGCTTTTAAAGCACATAGATATAATTTGAGAATACTTATCATACTATTAAGGGTAAAGGGTTGTTCTTTGGACATCTATATATTATTTCCTATATATTATTTCCTATATATTATTTATTCATATGGATATTAATCAGATCTGTTTCACAACACTTGGAAGATGGCAGTGTCTTATAAATGACATATAACTCTGGCCTTTTGCAAATTTAAAGTCAAAGTTAGCAGCAACTGACAGCAACTTCAGCATTATTAGGGCTGATCAGAATGACATACTGTAGCTAACCTTGACCAGTGAAACAGGCATGTACTGTATACTGTATGTATCTTACAGTACATATACAGTATATGCCATTCATAAGATTGTTAAAAAAGGTATTATGTGTCACCTTTAATAATTTACCTTTACATCTCAGGAGCGCTTGATCATGGGATACACCACAGAAAAGAGAATTCTTATTTATGTTGTTGATGCTTTTATTCAAAAGGACTTACATTTGCACCTGTTTCCACAGCATGATATTTTACTGGAACAATTCAGTTGACATACTGCCCCTTGCTCAAGAGTACAGCAGCAGTATCTCAACTGGGATCTGAACCCACAACCTTCAAGGACCCTAACTGCTATTCTCACTGCTGCCTTATAGCACCTGCATTCAGTTGTTTTAGTTTTTTTCTGTTTGCTTCATGCAGGTATTCTATTGGCACTTCTGCACAAGTGTTTGAAGTGTCAACCTTCAATGTTTTGCTTAATTGTCAGGGCATATCTTTGTGACTCACATTGGATTCTGGACATCAACTTCCCTGCACTGCTGATTAACGCGCTGTGCTGAATAGTTGTTTGGAGCCTCCCCATCTATTACTCTCCTGTCTCCAGCATTATCTTCCAGCTAAAATCTCTTCTGCTGTGCTGATCCGCTCTGCAGCTCCTCCTGCCTGTTGGGTTCAGTCAGCACCATGTTAGGTGCATAGGGGAATCAGCAGCACCTCAATGTCCCTGCATGCTTGAGAGCATCACTTCTGTGTTCTGTGCTCCAAGTCCAGATGTGGCATTGCAGCTAACATGGATCAGCGTTGTAACTTTCTGCAGCACGCCAAGCAATAGGTTATTACCCTCATCTGTAGACCCTTGATACAAGGAACCCTATATCATAATAGACAAGGACGTGTGATTCATCCTTAATAAATCTTTTTCACAATCACAGTGTCTCAGTTTAAAGGGCTCTTGTGTGTTTTTAGACTATTCAGGGCTTTTATGATAAATATAGATTGTTGATACTGTTGTTTTCGTGAAGGAAATGGGTATATGTTTATGAGAAGGTGGTGCAGGCACAGAAGGTAGAACTGTCACAAAGCAATACAGCTTTCTCATATGCCTTTAACATTCTAGTCCAGGTTTCTTTTGGACTGCTGGCTTGTCTGTTTTCAGATAAGAATTATTTTATTAGAAAGCAAGACAAAAAGTAATATTATTCATGTTAAGGCACAAATAATTTAATTTTGAAAAGGAGTTTAAGTAAAAATGCTACAGTATATACTGTGTGCTGAATCTGAAATCTATATTGTTCAGACAGATGTCTAAGAAATCTGTACTAATTATGTCGGAATTCCTACAGGTCACAATAGAGGAATGCAGAAGCATTAGCAATTATGGTGACCAGACAGTTGCAATAAGAATAATGGAAAAAATATGTATACTTATGAACATGTTCAGATTTGTTTAAAAATCCAGAGACAGTGCAAAGAAAAAATAGACTTTCTTGATTTCATTGCAGCTGTGAAGGCATCTCCCGCAAAACAGGAGAATGGATGCAGAATAGAATCCTTCATTATTTCCTTTCAACCTCACTGGCGTTGCACAGGGGAGGGGAGGCAGGAGAATCTCAGCTGCCACCACCTAGTCCAGTCTACTGTATATGAGAGTGCTGGCTCAGGCATTACATACAGTATGCTGATTGTCACAACATGTGTGTTCTGTGTCTCTGTGCGCTGTAATCAGTTTGGCAAAACTGTAGGATATGTCATTCTGATCAAATGGTTTAATTGAAAAGCACTTAGCTGTACAGAAAGTGAGATAAATAAGGAAAAACATCAATCTCATGGGGGAATCTAGGAGCAGAGAGACAGAGGGAAAAAAATACTGACATTCCGAATGCAGTGTTGTTGGTCTGTGCTCGGGAAACATGTGACTTGTCAAGTTAAATATCGCCTGGGGCCTTCCTCAGTTATCTGATCTCTATCAGTAGCTGATTAAATCATTACAATATTCACTTTCAAGAGATCAGCTCTCTTGCTTGTGTCTCTAGGTCTCTGAGATAAACACATTTATTTACACTCTGTGGTTATTTAAAGATTCACAGAGCATACACTGGGAGGTTTCTACATTAAATGCAAAAGGACAAACTTTTTATTTTCCATTTCTGTTGGAAATGCATATTTTGTTTTACAAAGACCGAATTCAGATTGATTGCTTTAGATATTGTGCCACTACCTTCTTGAGCCTCTGTCCACTTTTTTCATGTATGTGTCATCAAATTTAAAAATAACCTTGAGAAATCTGAAGTCCTTTCATTCCACAGGCAAGAGAAAGCAAGTGTCACGCCCCACACTCTCCCTCGCAAACGGCGTTGCATTCCCAAAACCACTGTTTCACAATCTCATTCCTAATTAAACCCATCACATTCCCACATGCACCAGATTCCACAAATTGTCACTCCCAGACCAATTATCCAACCACATCCCTTTCCTTTCAGTATTTAAACTTCACTCACACACCTACCCATGCTCACTATTGGGAAGCCTGTAGTAGTATTCTCTTGTGTGTGTTTCTAAACTTTTTGACTGATCTCCTGGTACCTAATCTTTGCTCCTGCCATTTGACTATGCCTTTTGGGTTGTCTTTTGGATTTCTCTTGTTACTGGACTCTTTGCCTCCCTGATTGACCTAGCCCCTGGATTTTGTCTTTTGGATTGTTCCTGTGCTACTCTGTGTTCTGTGGGGTTCACAGTTATGTATAAGGATCCTTCTATTCTACCAATAGATTCCTAGACAGCAAGTACTCCAGACTGTACTCTTGTGTGCCAAATGTGTAAATTCCTTAATTAAACATGAGCAAACATCTTAGGTTTTCTGACACCTAGTTCAATAAACCAGACATCCCTGCAGCTTTCCTGTAAATGGTGTTATGGATCGGACTCAAGCAAAAGATCGCTCCTTAGAGCAGACAGTACTAAGCGTGCATTCTTACCAAATATAGCTGTTTCATTTGTTTTATGCCAGAATAATTTGCAGTTGTACAAAATAATTGCAGGTGTACTATTAATAGGTACACAGCAACAACCAATTGCTTGTGGAGTTTTTATACTTGTATGTGTAGCTTACAGGACTAACAAAACAGTGCTCACTGCATTTGCAGCTCTGGGCATTTCAATAAGCACTGTAAAGGCTAATCAGATGATTCTCCAACCCCAGAGGGCAGGAGAGAAGGGGAGTGACTGGCAGATTTTAGCTCCTCATTCATCACTGTCCTTCACTGGGATTAGCACCACAGAGAATGTTTTGCAGGAAAATTAACTGGGAATGATCTTTAACAGAAAAGAGAAATAGAAGCACAGTGAAAAAGAAGCAAGCATGTGGGGAAACATTCCGCTGGCGATCCCAGCTCCTCCATCACTAGGCTCCGCTGTACTTGGGATTGCTCTGTCCTTTCTCATCACCACGCACGGTGAAGTAGGACACATCTGTTTAAAATAAAATGGGCTCCTTGTCACGCCCCAAAAATCAGACTGTGCAATGCGAACCTCGGCACAGGCAGCTTTGTCTTGTCTGTCCTTTGAAAACAGCCCTGAGTCCCGCATGAGTGCATGGATAGATCAGGCGTGGAAGCAGAATGTCAGATTTCCCACATTTCTTCCTTCATTCCTTTAGGTCTATTTATTTAAAGATCTTACAGCACATCTTCTCTTCATTTTTGCCACCGGATAACATCCACAGATTGCATTTCATAATGAAGTTTTCATTCACCTGACAGTGACTACACAAACGGCAAACTACTTGGAGAAATAACATTTTCTCTGAAGCCAAATCTATCTGTGAGCACAAGGTATGTCCCCATTGTGTTTTGCATTTGGCATTCCAAGACACACATGGCTTTGAGGCCTTCTTGGTATACTCAGAATGGGTTCTCTGATTGTCTCTGATAGGGGTGGTCCAAACAGTCCAGTTTTACTAATGGAGCACTGCTAATTGGATACCTCGTTCGAGTTAATTGCATTAAAGCTCCATGTAGACACACTGTAAAATTATTACCAGTTTCATCTAGTGCAATGAAATCTACACCTCTAACTCCAAATCTGCTGTTTCAGACTGGGTATCAGAGAAATTGTACAATGAATTATTTTCCATCCATCTGTTTTCTAAGCACCTCGTCCAGTTCAGGGCTGCGGTGGAGCTGGAGCCTAACAGGCACAAGGCAAGATGCATCTTAGACAGGACACCAGTCCATCCCAGGGTGGACAGTCACAAATACAAGCATGCACACACTCACGCTAGGGCCACTTTTCCCAGAAGTCTGGACTCTACGTGAATATGTGGAGAACATACAAACTCCACACAGATAGAACCCCAGGTCTGGAACTGAACTCAGGGTCCCAGTGCTGAAGGCAGCACTGATAACTATTGCGACAGCGTGCCACCCTTTGAATTATTCCAGTAAATGCCAAGGCGGATTTTTTTGTCCAATTAAAAATACGATACTGTAATGAAGTATTCGTTGTCACATACAGTGTTAAACTGAATTGTAACTGGGGCTCTGTCTGCGTGGTGTTGTTTCCTGGAGTATTCCTAATTGTGCTTCTGTGCATTTCTGCTGAGTTGCCTTTGCTGTAGAGACTCCAGAACAGCATCAGAAAGGGCAGCACTCACAGACACCTCTATTTCTCTCCCCAGTTTCACAACCTCCAGGAGCTACGCCGAAGTGCTTCACTGGCCACTAAAGTCTTTATCCAGAGGGACTACAGTGAGGGAACCATCTGCCAATTCCAGACCAAGTTCCCTGCCGAACTAGACAGTAGGGTAAGTCCTCATCCCACAGGGTCTTTCTGCCATGTCTGAGTTACAGCAGTTTTAACAAGGAAAAGAGCTAGTGAAAGATGCAGCAGAGCTCATAGACCAGCCAGCCAACAGATGCAGAGGTCACAGTGAGTTTATTCATGTCCCACTATCAGAAGTAATCCACTTGGACACTGAGCAGCATGAAAGGCAGTTTTGTTTTTCTTTTTGCCCACGGTTGGATTTAAAAAAAAATCTAATTTTCTTAATAAAGCATCACTTACCACAATTCATTCTAAGCCCAAAGGAAATAAAATGATTGGGAACTCAGTATTGTCTACATTTGATCTCCACAGGGCAGTAATATTTACCAAACTGACTTATGTTCCCTGTCTTGTTTAGATGACATAGCATGTCTAAGTCCCTGTTGTATAGATATGTAGTTGTGGTCATTCAGGAGAGCCAAGAGCAGGGTATTTTAGAGAACATAATTGAGATACAGGGGGGCAGTGTGGCTGAAAATATGGTGTTGTGGTGCTTAGTCCTCTGGCAGACAGTGAAGAAGAAAGAAAAACATTTTTTTTCTTAATTGTACGGAGCAGAAGATGAAGAGATGAATCTGAAGGGGTTTTGCTGTCATTATTGAGATGTGGTACAAAGGGAGAGTACCAGAGAACTGCAAATTGACCACTTTTGGGTTCATTGAGGGTCACTAATGTTTATTAAATGATCCATGTCAAGGGGATTGCCTTTGGAGTGTCATAGACATTAATGGAATCCTCTGAAGTGTGAATAAAGCACTACACCACAGAATAAATGTCAGGCACATCAAGCAGTTTAAGTTGAGATGATAATTTTAGAATTCAGCTGTTCCCAGGGTTACCAGTGTTAAAATATGTTATGATGTCTGAATGTGCTGTACAGAAGATTATTTTACTTAACTGCTGTGTTTTTTCTGTGTACAATTAGCAAACCCTTAAAGATCTTTTAGGCATATTCTGAAATGCCAGAGAAGGCTGATATGTTTGGTTAGCACATTCCTCCGTTTTTTTTCTGAGAAACACATGTATATATATATTTTAATAAACGTGTTTCAGATATTGAATGAATACTATATATTTTATGCTGAATATACAGATTATACAGATGGGAATAAATAAGGCAACAGGTTCTTTCTTTCCTTTCAGTGCAATTTTCATCTTTTGTTATGGTTTTACATTCAAGCCTTTGTTTTTTCTTTAAGGCCACAAATATTGAAGTCTCTCATCTGACTTTGAGATTTCAGAATCAGGTTTTAAAATAACACATTGCTGTCCCACTTTTTGTTTATAGAGTAAATCACATTTTAAAATTGCTTTTAAATGAAGGAGTTTTCAGTGTGTGATGCAACGTACAGTATATGACCTGGGGTTAGGAATCATTTGTGAAAAACACAATGGCAAGAGGCGTCACACAGTGATGTTGAAGCGACTATCAGCACGTTGGTGCTGCAGGCTACAGTCCGGGAGGGGTCACTTTTCCACTTCACTGAATGACCAGGTCTGCTCAGTTGCTCCTTAGGGAGTCCCTGGGAAAGCAGGCTGGGCCGGGAAGCGAAGGGCCAGTGAGACGATGGGGAGGCGTGAGCTCTTATCTATTGATCTCTTGGATAGATTGAGCGGACGTTCTTCGAAGAGACGGTAAAGACGCTGAACAGCTACTATGCTGAAGCTGAGAAGATCGGAGGCCAATCATACCTGGAGGGCTGTCTAGCCTGTGCCACTGCCTACATCATCTTCCTGTGCATGGAGACCCGTTACGAGAAGGTGAGAGCAAACCTGAAGTGCGTCTGTTACTGCCCAGACGTTGTGTGGTACAAAGGTGAAAACATGTCACGATCTGTATTATCATAACAGTATAAAAAGTATTTAAACTTTTAACAGAATTGCAGCTTTTAAGTGAAGCTTAATTTTTTATGCACCTCTCCACCAGTCCTTGGCAAGACCATTAGTTTCACGTATTTAACCCGACAGCTAATGAAGCAGCTTTGTAGTTGGCCTTATCTTACAACTGTTAAAATATCAGATTGATGGTCTGTATCGGTCCAGTTCATATGGAAGGTCTGCACTGAAGCGAAGAGTCTCTGTTTGACATGTGATTCCACGGAGTCCTATGCCGTATAGGAAGGACTTGTTGCTGCGTGCAGTCACTGCTGAATAAACTTGGATGATAGAAAAACGATGTAAGATAAAACTTGACTCATGATGCTCTGCCAAAATGACATAACCGCTCTCAAAGTATCCTTGCTAAACTGACATTTTGAATAGCTTGCACCTGACTGCCAACGGGTATAACAACCTGTGCCAATGATAGCATTGTGTGCAGAATAATGGGCACCTTGAAAAAATTAGAGATAACTTAAAAAGGAAGCCTATTCTGCACATGTAATCTTTATGGTGTCCCATCAGATTAATCTTTATGATTTTGAAAGGTGCTGTGAAAAGGCCTACATTTTCTATCAGGATTTTGTAGTACTACAATGATACTGGTATATGGCATAAACTGTGAAATTATTTCTTAAACACAATGTAGGGACTTTGACTGGATAACGTTACATGACATGAGTCACTGTTTTGACAAAGTGCTTTATGTTGGACTTGGTTTTGCCTTCCAGCTGATAAAAGCCCACACACATTAAAGCATGTGGAAGTGCACAGAGCAAGAGAACACAGTTTTCCTCATTAAAGGAAGCTGATTTAATTACACTAATATGATTGATGAGAGCATGGTGATCCCCGTAACATCTGTTCAAAATGCACAATGCAGGTTTAGGAGTTTTGACTCTGCAATTGCAAGACCAGGAGCCATTGCTACAAAGATGATAAGTTTCAGTAGAATGAAAATGAGGGAGAGAAGAGGAAGGTACAGTACTATATAATTTTAGCTCTTAAAAACATCCAGATCTCTCTGCATCTTCCCTTGGTTTCTGAAGTGCCAGCAGCTTCCCCTTGACTGGCACTACGTGGTGCCTGGCATGATGGCCAGTGTGGCACAGCTCAGGCTCCTCATATCACTTTGCCTCATTGCTGCCCAGCTCTGTACTGATAGCCTTTGTTCCGGAGGGCAACTCTATCTGCATGAGAAAAGCAGTGTATTCTTGACGCCTACTCTCTGTGCAGACAGCTGAGTGTGGCTTCAGCACACCAGTTCTCCCTTCACTGCCTGGGAACTCAGCCCAGTGTCAGCCATTTCCCTAGACAAGGAGTGCCCTCTGTGGTGGGCCAGCTGCCATGCCATTATCAGAGACCTGACTGAAGATCCTAGGCCACCCAGACACTGTTGAATCCCTCAGTTCAGTTAAAATAATAATAATCTAAAATAATAACCCTTTTCTGCACAGACAACAACATGGCAGGCCTGGGTCCAGAGAGAGCAGACTTCTTAGAGCAAGAATGCTTTGACAGCTCATGTCAAGCCACAGAAACTGACCCCTGCTCTGCCCATTGTAATAGTTGACACAAAGCACAGCTAAGCATGAACAAGCACTGGAAAGCATGGCGACCAGTTTGTAAGCATGGTTAAAGTTCATAAAAGCATGCAAGATAACACATTACTGACTTTTATATGGAGCGTCTCAGCATGATATACAATTAAGATGTTTATACCAGTAAGATTGTTTAATTACCATAGAACTGAAACAAGATCAAAGCAAATTTCTTCCCACAGCTATGAGAAGTCTTTTCTCAGTTCAGAGGCTGTCTCTCACCAGAGAAAACAAAGAACGCTGGACTAAAGAGCTAACACTCAGTTTCACTTCATTGGGGTATGCAGTTATGGGCATGTATCTGACGCAATGGTTATTTGCTAAATGAAATATACCGCACTGAGACAGTCTAAATAAACTGTCTCCTTCTCTTTATTGTATTTCTCAATTTGCCCTGAACTATTACAAGCACACAATCTAATCAGATTTTGCTCCAGTGGAAAAAAAAATCAAATTGAAATCTAATGCAGCAAAAATAAACCAGTCAATTTTAGTAATTTAATTCAAGGGCTTTCAGTACAAAGAAATTATGAATAGCAGCTTACTGCTTCATGGAATTATTCTGGATTTAGAGAGTCAGGAGGGAACCCACAAGAGAGGAGTTCATTTTTTAGCTGAAGGAATGGGCAGTCTGAGTAGCCTGAGTTGTGAATGTTAATTCCATTGTACTATGTCTGTTAACTAGACATTAGTACAGCAGTTTAAGCACTCTAACTTTACCATGTATGCCTTTTTTTCACAAATTTACTGTTGGAAAACAACATTCTGCAGGCAGCTGGCACACAAGGAGTACTGAGGAATCGTGTTTTTGTGTCAAGTGACAGCATGCTACGAAAAAGATAACAACAGTAGCTCCAAATTCAGTTAGAGAGTTTGGTAACACTTTAGAATAATGGCTGCATAACGGCAAATTCCAAACAAATTCCACAAAAATAGAACAGGAATAATACCTCAATATCTCAAAATGAGGTCATGCAGAACTCAGAGGAAATCTTCTTGGAATATTGTTGGAAGTCATTATGTTATTATCAGGGCTGATTTCAGTAGGAATCTGTATCAAAACTATTTTAAATGTAAACAATATTTTATATTTGTTGTTCATGTATGATAGGTATTGACACTAATATATATCTACACATAATACTATCCATATTGTATAGCATATTTAAGTGTTTGAGACAGTATTATTTGATTTGCAAGTGAATTAAAAAAACCTAAAAACACAGAATACATACGGTAGAATATTTTTCCTAACTGAATATTACAAATAGGACATTTGGATGCCTTTACAGATGTCTCCAGTTATCCAGCATTTAAAGTTAATGCGTTTTAGTGCCATGGGCTGCAAAGCTCAGCTGCTGTCTGGGAAGGTCTTCAGACGCAGGGGAACTATCTGCAGGGCTGAGGGTTTTGCAGGATGCTCTGCACTCTTTCAAACTGACAAAGCTGTCTGTTGTCGCTGTGGAACAGGTGCTGAAGAAGATCTCCAGGTACATCCAGGAGCAGAATGAGAAAATTTACGCCCCCCGAGGTCTCCTCATCACAGATCCTATTGAGAGGGGAATGAGGGTTGTATCCTTTCACAGGGTCATGGTGGGGTGATGGGTAGGCAATGTAATCCGTACATGTGAGCTGGGTTTACTGATGTCTCAGGATACGTGAATAATCACAGCCAGGTCTCTACAGTCTGCAGTGATGGATGTGCTCAGAATTCCTTGGGCGTAAGAGAAATCCCGTTCCTAATTGAAGTGCAGCAACCTTTATCAGTTTTTTAATTGGACAAAAATTAGACTGATGTATTTTTAATGGCTTTTTATTCTTTCACTCTTGGAGTACCATTCTGACTTTCTCAGGTTTGGTGATAAAATTAAGACACTTCTTCCACAAGAAATGGTCACTTTAAGACACTTCTTGAATCTTGTCGTCTCAGTTGGTGATTAACTTGGGATCCTTAAAAGATTGCTTTGCAAGAGACATGTGCTAGATTTACTGCAATTAAATAAAGCTGTTCTCTGTATAGATCTACAAGTATTGCAAGAAATCTGTTGTCAGGTCCAAAGATATTCAGAAAAAAGATCTTCATTTCAAAACGTTTTCCCATTTCTGTATGAACTCTCAAGACATTTTCCCATTTCTGTCTGAACCTGTGGAGTCCCTTTCAATATACACTTAGAGGTGTAATTAAATAAAATCAGAGATATTCAGGTTTTTTGTCAGACTGTGAAAGCACATCGTCTGTCTGAAATGTGAGATATTTTTTTTTAAATTGTGTAAATTCTTTTCCCACTCCTGACTAAAAAGGTCATCTCCAGTTCCATAGTATACACTAAAGGCTCCAAATACTGAGCAAGATGTCAGAAGACCCATTTGTGATTTGTGTAAGCGAGTGACTGGAGCATTTCCATCTGAATTGTTATTCAAAGCTCAAGGGAATGGAAATCCCAATTGGCTGGTTGCTCAGGCTTTTCCTTTTTAGATGCAGTCATTTTGGTCCTTGAGTGTTTTTCAGGAATGTGCTGTGCTTTCAAACCCTATGATTTCTGCATTAGTCCCAGGGAAGCCATTCATTTCCTTAATAAAGCAGCAACCACAACATTTGTCCACTATTAACCATTCCTAATGGGACTGTACCTTGAGCTTGTTTTTTTTTATTTTAATCTTTCACCCAGAGGACAGGACATTGACATCACATTTTTGGATCTCTCCAGATACTTATCATGATAGTTTGATAGACTGATCACCATTTTCTGCTGGAGACCTGGCCTCTTTTTTAGAGTAGTACTTTGCAAGTACACTGGCTTCCTCCATCTCTGGCATTTTCATTAGAAAAATTCCCCACAGTTTAATCAGAAGAATAACTCAATATATAAACAGCTCTCTCCACCCTAGTCACTTCAGAAGGGATTATCTCACGCTGGCTCTGTTCTCTCAGAGGAGGCCTTCGTGTTCCCCTGCCCTGTAGCCCCTCCTCACACCACATGATCCTAGATAATGTGCTAAGTAGTCCCACACTGCAGTAGCTCCATCATGTACCAGCTTCAGAAAGACTTCAGAGAGGAGCGCTGCTTTGCTGTGGTTAGCTATCTCTGTGAAAGATGGGGTATTATGTGGAAATGAATTGTTTCTTGTGGCATTTTACAAGAGGGCTATCAAGAAAGTATTCTGCCAGTGCATATCATCTAAGCACAATCTTTTTCTCATTCCTTTTTTTATTTTTCTTCGCGTTTTGTGGGTTTCACTTCTTGACAGAAAAGTTTGGGGCCTTTTGAAGCATTTCCTCTCAAACTGAAACTCGGTGAAATGCCTGTGTTAAAAATGTGTTGCTAAACTGTTGCTAGGCATGCGACACAAAACAGTATATAAAATAAATTCTCCCTTCCAGTTCTGCTTTACCTAAAAACTGCTCACCAAAAATGTTTTTAAAATGTTATCTTTGGCATTCATCCCTTTCAACACTTCAGACTGCCTCTTAAAATATAGAAAGGAATTGGGGGTAAACAGAAGATGGTCATGCCCATTTACTGTATAACTTTATATTAAGCTGAAACATTTTTGCACTGCATTTGTATATCTAAACTCTCCAAAACTTCAGCTCCTGTCCCTGAGTGTGACTTACAGTAATGTGACTTAGGTTAAAGTATAAGACGGCAATGGGGGAACACTTTCATCAACCCGCAGAGGGGGACATGCCCCTGGAGAGATTCATCAGTTTGGTAGAGGGGGTCCCCCTCATCTGTCCGTCCCCCCACCGCCCTCCTCCTCCTCCTCCCCTCCTGTTCCTCCTGCTTCCTTGACGCGCGGCGCTCAGATCGAGATCTCCATATTCGAGGACCGCGGCTCCAGCGGCTCCAGCGGCTCCAGCAGCAGTTCCACGTCCAGCAGCAGCGGTCGGTGACTGGAGGAGCAGCACCAGGGGTATGGGTACCGGGGGGCTGGGGGGCTCCCCAAGATCCGCATGCTGAAACATGAGAGCACCAGATTCTGACCCCGGGGAGGGGGCAGCCTCCTTCCCATGGACACACACAACAGCCAGGGGATCACATACGCACCCTCGCCCTTTCCTGCCCCACCATCAGCACCATCAGCACCCTGACTCTCATCACTGGCTGCGTTTCCATGTGCACCCAGCTTCTGGGTCAAATCCCTCAGATCCAGTAGCCACACAGTTCAGGCAATGTTTCTTCTTTAATTCTGGTCCATCTGGGGAAGTCTGTCCTCAGTTTCCTTTGTGAATTTGGTAGTTATGAGTTGATCTCAATTGACCAAAATACATTGCAGCCTTGAGATCTGTGGACAGAGTTAGTTTCCTATGCCAATGTGCCTCATGTCTGCTCCAGTGGGCCTCAAAGCAAGGTAAGGATTATTACCAGTTCACCAAATTCCTGATCTTCTGGACAGACAAGCTGTAAGCGTGCCATTATCATGCAGTTGTGGTGCTGCCTTTTATCATGTAAGAGCTAATTATTTTATTTTATAATCAAAACATGAAATCAGCTGTAGATCACTGCCATTCTCCAACTGGTGGCTCTTGTTGGAACTAGGCCAATTTCCTAAGTACCTTTCAGCCTGAGTGCAAGCATGCATGTACAGTATATACTGTACATAATCATTCTATGGATTATGGCTGTTTTCTGATACACTTAACTGTCTAAAGAAGTGTTATTGTCTCAGTATCAGAAGATCAGAGCTGTGACATATTATTGAGGATGCTCTGAAGAGATATGGTAGCCATCTGGTTTTACATTGTGAGACCAGTTACTGTACATATATCACACTGCTCACTGAGGCAAGAGAGAATGCACGCATGTGATTAAAAACTGTCAGGTTGCCATTTTTCTCCTAAAGTAAATCTCAAATTAATACTGCTGTAGTTTTACATCATTAGGTGACATTCTTATTTCAATACATCAGCCTTCTACAAAACATAAACATGATCTGGAAGATGTTCACTCCATTTGTCTGTGTAATTTAACTTAGCTGTAATGATATAATGATCTGATCAGTAGTAACTGATTCTTCATCACTTATCCGAACCTTTGCATGCAATTGTTTTTTAATGCATTAAAGTGTTTTTTTTTTTTTAATCCAAAGCCGGTAATATTGTGAAACCACATTGTATGGCTGATGCTATTTTTAAATCATGTGATAATTCAGCAGTTTTCCACATTCATCACATCCCTGCACTCTCTCACATTAATGTGCTTACTGAAACGATAGTGCACCTGTCAGTGCAAGCTCTGGCCGGCCATTCAATACCAGTGGGCAGCATGGATTCTGTATCCTCTCTAAGTCTATTGATGGGACCAAAACACTAAAAACAGCAACTGCAAGAAATAGTCAAAGAGATGGAAATGAAGAGTGACTGTGCAGGCGTAGCTGATGCGTAACATGGTAGAAGCTTCTGAGAACAGGTCCCCATGGAAACGCAGGTGGTCTTTTTTTCATCATATTTTTATCTGAATGCATTCATTCTTCATCACATGTTTCATTATCATTACTGTTGTTGTTACTAGATGATTCTTTTATTGTCCAGAATTATCAATGGACTAACCTCCCACCCCCCCGACCGTTATTCGTACTCATCCACCTGTCATTCCATTATGATTTCATCTTTTTGTGTTGTGTGTTTGACAAACCCGTCCCGTTGCCAGGACTTGAAGACTCTTAGCATAAAGGGCCAGATCAGCATTGAGCCTTGTGGCTGAGAAGCTAAGACACCAATTGAGAACCTGGACATTTGAAGCTTCTCAAAAAGGAAAACCAAGTCATTATGATTTAATTTTAAAAGCCAGTTTTTGTTTGTATATTTATTAATTTATTTTTATTTTCTTTTACTTCTTTCTCTTTTGTTTTTATGTTCATGCTCATTTCTGTTCTGTTTTTTCTGTTTATTTTCAGTTTCTCTCCTGGCTACCCTAAAAACTCCTCAGACTTTGCGCATTTCTAAAGGTTAGTTGCCCATTTGGCCTCTTCCAGCACCCTTCCAAACCGTACACCCTGTCAGTAGCACTCGCTCAAGGCCTCCAGTGCTTGATGCCTTCATGTTTCATTCCTGTGGATACCCATCCTGGGGCTGACCAATGGATTCTGAACTGCCACTAAGCCATTGTATATTGTACATGAGCACTCTATCGCATGAAAATCTTCCTGTACAGTAGTGGGTGTACTGTAACAGAGTGGGAACCCCATAGTGCTATTCTGTAATATCTACTGTACTTTGTTTACATACATCCTGGTATTTGGGGTGGGGATTACAAAAGTAGGGTGGGGAAGAAGAGGGACCAGCGAAATCGATCTCAAAGGGGGGAACAAAAGGAGGAAGCAGAAATCGTAGAATAGGACCAAAGAGGGCCAGCAGCAGTGGCATTACATCACAGGATATTCTGTCACTGTGGCAAGGAAACCCAATTTTAAAGAAAGTAAGAATAAGGTCAGGGCAAGGAGTTAATAGTATGCAATGCATGGAACAGTGTCAGTGCAAGGCAAGGTATTATATAATACTGTATAAATAGGGACTAGTTATGCCATTAGAAAGTAGAAGTTCACGTTTTCTTAGAGTGCAGAAAACAAATCTGGCCTAATGAAAATTGTTAGGGAGAAATAGCAAGCATTGATCAGGATGAAAGTTCGTAGGCAGTGAGGGATGGAAATGCAGTGTTTTAAAGTGCAAATTAAATCACCTGGATGTGGAATAGTGAGATATCAGGGATGGACAGGGCTGTGCAATAGGCAATGTGGGGAGGGTATCCCCTGACCTTTCTTTTATGATCCACATTAACATACATTTTGTATTTCTAATGCAAATATATACTGTAGATGTAGCGACCCGTAATTTAAAGGGAATCAAGCAAGTCTTCCTGCATATGAAAGAGTAGAGAAATGAGGTGAACCTCACCTTTTACATCACATTAAAATCTTCAAAACATCCATTGGGATTTACTTCTGCTATATGAAACAGAATATTGTCAACAGAAATTGTGAAGTTCCCCAATTAGTCGGAAATGCATGTTTTTTTAAACATAATTTTGTAAAGGGTATTACTTTCAGGGAGTCTACTTACTGTAAAAACTAAGCATTTTTTTCTATGTATGTGTGTCTTCTGCAAGGCAGATAAAGTTAATGTTTGTATTACAATGAAATATGACTTTTCATCTTATTCTGTTGAATGGTCAATACAAATAAGAAGAAACTTAAACCTGTTTGGCCTCCTATCTATACTACATTGGAGAGAGAATGCATTGACATTCATAACATCATTGTTTGATTACACAACTAGGGCTTTATTTCATGTCCAAAGAAGGTTGAGATGTCATTTAAAGGATAAAATCACGAGCCAAGAGTTTTAGATGCTGAGTTTCATCTTTAATTGTTATTCTCCACCATGGTTGTTTGTTCAGCGTTTTTGCTGAATCTGGAGGCAACAGCTCATTTTTTTAGTTTTATGAAACAATAAACAAAATTGTTTGTGATGGGACTCCTTCTTTTTCACTCCAGTGCATCAAATTAGAATATGAGCAAGGGGTTCTAATGCTCACATATTTTGTGAGAAATTCTTATCTTAAAAGTACTGTAACTTTGTAATGAATAAACACAACAAAATTCAGGGCTCCCATTCAGGTACTGTACACACAGGTTTTGATGAGACACCTTTTACTAGTTTAGTGTAGTAAAATAACTTGGCTAAATACACCCCAGCGATCAGTGGTGAATTATTTAGAGGGTTAAAGCCTTTCAGCACCCACCACCAGATTGGAGATGATACCACAAGGTTTTTGTATCCTTATGTTCAGATGGATTACTTCAAGGGATGGAGTAAAAACTAAATATTTTATATGGATTTCCCTGAACAACACAGTGCAGAAACTGGATGAGCATAATTTCAACTTTTCAGGCACCTTACCCTTTTGAAATTTTCAACTTGGTTACAGAATGTTCCATGGTTTCTGTATAATGCAAATTCTTATCACTGCTTTCCATTGTATTTTACATCTTTCTAATACAGTATATCCCATCTTATACTATTCTGATATTTGAATTCACATTTGAATCAGTTCATGACTGTTGATAGAACACAGTTGTAAATACTGGCTCCTAGGAAGCATCTTGAGAATTAAGACTGTGAACCTCTTCTTTTTACAACAGTGTTCCATGTTTCCTTGAAAGTATGGTGATTCATCTATGATCAGTTAATATGGATATGTGACCCAGGATATTTGAATCAAAATATCAAAGAATTCATATGATTTCAAGATGTACATACAGTACAACACAATGGACAGCAATGGTAAATAGATGATCAGAACCAAGGGATTTTCTGTGTTGTCATTTTAAGCCTACTAATCTAGATCCTATGTTAATCAACTCCGATTTTTGAAAAATAAACTATATGAAAATGTAAAATCTAGCAGTGGATCATAGTGTCAAATAAGGATAACACCATCACCACCACAGTAACTGCAAACCATCATAAATTATGTAGGTCCTAGTTGGAGCCCAATGAGGTATCACAACATCAGAATTGTTTGTAATTCTAGACCATCACTAATGATTGTCTAGAAGTGAATCTGTAAACATCTGTAAACAGCAAAACCCTTAAAGTGTACAGATCCTTAGTAAAAAACACGTTGGTTTTGTGTAGAATGCTGTGTTATGACTTCAATCTGAATGTAATGTTACCAGTATAATGAAACATTGATCAAATTGGATTGTGATGCAGTCTCAACGCCTTATACTGTACAATGACATTTATAATTGCTATGCATCTGTAACTGACATGAGCATGTTGTGAAATAAATTGCCTTTTGTTTTCTTTTTTAAAGTGGATCTTCTTGCTTTCTTTGCTTTGTCTGATGTTTACTTTCAACAGCAATGTGTCAGTCAGTATTTTATAAGTGCTCATTGAAGACTGGATTTTAAAAGATATAACTGTAATGTCAGTAAGAGGACAATATAATTGTTATATTCCAGTGCAGCATGAATACCTTCCCAAAATTATTATAGCCAATCATGAAATTTTGTCTTCATTTAGGGTTTAAAATCCTAAGGGAGCACAGTCCAAGGTCACCAAAATTGAAACAGAGATTATATTTGCTCGGTGCCAAAGGCTCTTTTAAGGGAAAAATAATAAACAAAACCTGCAGGAGTTAGACTTTTACCTTGTGTTTCCAGAGGGTGTATTGTCACTTTGTATTTTTTCACCTCGGAAAAGATTTTTGTGTCTGTGCATACAGAGCAAAATAAGAATGTTGACTTCATGCTTGGACAACTTTTTTATAATGGTAAAAGCAGAGTCTGGATACACAAGAAAGGCTTGTGTAGCCTTTGAGATGGCTTCCTCACTTCTGCCTCTCAGGCACTGTGTGGGATAATGCTCCCACATTCCCCTTGCACCACAGCACACCTGCTGCCTCTCAGGCTGGGACACTTCACGGTCGAGGCCAGACTCAATCCTGGGCCAGATCACGCAGAGCTGAGATGGAGATGATAGGGAGGCGTGCACACAGACAAAAGTGCCTTTATAGGTGGGGAAAAAGCACTCCCCTGTTTTAAAAGAAATTAAATCATCCTTGATCCGACAGCGTTATGCTCTGCCCGGGGACAGTAGATAACAGTTATTGCTTTTGCAGTGAGGGGAGACCACTGATCCAGAAACGGGCCAGTATAGGCCAGCCAGGACCTCCAATCCCATCAGCCTCTGGAGTGACAGGTAACTTCAGCCAAACTCTACCTAATGAGAGAAACACTGTGCTTTTCAGAGAAAGAGGGACACATAGACAAAGGAGCCCATTCACAGAGCACTTTACTACTTTCTGGAAGATTCCTCTGTTTTGTTTCCTTTATTGAAAGTAAAAAAAAATCCTCTGCTAAGTTAATGAGCAAAACTCTGAAAAACCTTGATGGTAGTTAAATGAGAGTGACAGGTGTAATTCTTGTAGTTTCATAATTTTTTTTTTAGCTGCTACAGTAACTTACCTGAACATGCAGCTGTCTATGGGAAAAAGTGACTTTTTCATTTTTGAAAAAATATGCTTAGGGAGACAGTGAGTGATGCCTATTGAAGAATAGACAGAGTGCACGCTCTCAGTGAGAAGATTCGTGCTGGTATGCTGAACATTTTAGATATGGCTGAGTAATAATATATTTTCATCAAATCTGGAAAAGGGTGTTGTTCCTTGATCATAATGTGTGTGTTTCAAGTGCCATTCATAATGCAAGGAAACACAGGTGGGGCTTGGGGATGCATCACAGGAGGTTATTTATGCTCAGGAGACGAGTCGATTGCAGGAAACTGAAATGTTTTAACCTGCTGTGGCAGTCACTCCCAACAGGGAAAGTTTGGTGTATCTCAGAGTAAAGCTATCCTGGCAGCTCCTGCTTCAAACAGCGGAGCATGAGGGTGACATGCCCAGCAGCACAAGGCAGGCAGGCTTGTGGGTGTCACTTCAGATAAGATGTCTCTCATCACCTGCCGAGACACTGCCTGACATCACGGAGAGCGAATGTGAAAGCTTGTGTGAATATTTGTGTTTTGTGTATATTGGAGAGGTCTGGATATTTAACCCATACCGGTGGAACAAATAAAAGACAACTTCCTGTGCACAGGAAGGGATTTTGATTTTCCCTCACGGTGTTCTGAATTATATTTGTGTTTTCATGTGCCCTCTATGTGAGTCATGACACAGTATATGGCATCGATCAGATCTTCTGTATGGGTCTCACACTTTGTGACTTTTAAGAAAAGAATGTGACTCTGAGGCAGTTCTCTCTTTCTCTCTTTTCAGTGGTTCTGTTAGTGGTCTGAGCAAATGAACATAAATAAACATAGTGGTTTATTTTCCCTCCCTCATACTCTGGGTTCAGTCCAATTTAGAACTGAAATAGACTGCAGCAGAACAAAGCAAACAGCAAACAGATAGCAAACGTGTTGCAACAGTCAGGCACACTGCTACCTTTTCAAGTGAAAGGAGTGCAAAAGATTCACATGACCTTCCTACAATTCCATTGCTGTTAACTAGCCAATACAATGGCTCCTTAGTATAGGGATTTAATTAAAAGTGTTTCGCATGTCGACACTCTCCACTATAAACTCTCCTGACTGCTACCAAAGGTACAAAGACAAAACCGACTCTCGCTTTTGAAGGTAAAACTCTCTATTTCCTTAGCAAACAACAGGAAAGTTCAAAATAACTTTATAGACTAAATTCCTGAATTTTAGCACACTGAATTTGAGACAACATGAAAAATTATGCTTGTTGAATGTAATTATAAGGATGCTATTATGTCTGAGGATGATTTCAACACTTTCATGATGGAATGACAATTATCTGACAACAGGGCATAAAGACCTGAAAGAAGATGATGTAAGAAATTAAGAAGAATGGGTGTTGAAACTGAAAACGTAACATAATGGCACATGACTATTAGATTATGCTATTGAGAAATGCATCCATATTGTGTGTGCAAAGTCCTTTAGCATGACCTTCAGTATAATGAAACATACTTTGAGATTCAAGTTCAGGTTTCAAGAAGCTTGTTGTGTATTAGTTCATCCCTCAGGGAAGAAAGTAGTACAATGTTTTCTGATACTTTTCTTAAGACTGGTTCCTCATAAATAGTGTTAATAACAGGTGATTCTGGCACAGAATGAGGGCTATAGTGACATGGACTGTCAATACGGCACCTTTTCACAAGTAGCTAATTCATCAAAGAAATGAGGGGAAAAAAAGTTTGTTACATTATCAGATACAAAGTGCAGCCCACACATCAATCAGAGCCCTTTCATATGCCTGGCACAGATATGCCATCAGCAGCCACAGATCCTTTCAGACTTGGGAGTGTTTAAGAAAACACCAAAAAGTTACACTAATGACACAACACCTGTGCAGAAAGGTCAGGTTCTATATTCAGTGCACTTGCTGAGAGCTCCCAGGGTGAAGTATGTTGTTGTGACACAAGGGGGGTTTTGTTCCTGTTATCAGGCTGGGTGCTGAGCTCTCGGCTGCAGCAGAATGTATCACCTGTCCTGGCCTTTCAGGGTCTGTTGCCTGAACGCCCCCGGCATTGCGCAACACAGCAACACGAGCCACGCTCGAGGGAAGAGGAACACAGCCCTTGAAAGGAGGGGCAAGATCAAATTCATCTACTTTAGATCTCCATTGCGTTCAATGGAACGGGAGCAACATCCTTTCCTGATCCTGCTGTTCAGACACTCAGAACTTCAAAAGTTTATGCCCTTTTAGATTTTGCTGGAAAGAGAAAGGTGACTGGACCCAGTGTACTGTAGGATACAGTCTTCTCTTGGAGCTTTCTAAAACATACTGATATCAAAATGACCTGTGCACCAGGGAACCAAACCAGCTTGTCATCAAAACTTTTTTTGATTTGTATTAATCTTTGTAGGGTGTAATTTTAAGCCAATGAGGAAATGTGGAAAAGTGTGAGTCATAAAGGAAAAGGAAAGGGAGTGTTTATATTACATGTATATTTCTTTTGAGGTTCATTGCCAACTGGCCAGCAAGAAAAGACAAATGGGCCACATACAGTACGTGCATTTTCCATCCATGAAAAACCACAGTGGACCTAGTATGGAATGACAAAATGCAGCCACCAGAAACTCACTGACACATTGTGGGTCCCAAGCCGGCTAATACTGTACTACCTGGTGTCAACAGGTGAAAAAAAAGAAAAGCTGTAAAATGAATACCAATACTTAAGTATTTTTAAGTTAGGAAAATTAAGATCTCCACAAAATGTTGAGATGGTCATGCTTTCCAACTATGCAGTTTAATTTAAAAAAAGCTTTAATAGCCTTGTGATACAGCGTGAGACAGACATGCTAGGGCGGGTGGGAAGAGAAACGGAGGAACTTCTCCCTGGTAGCACTTTGATGATATACTGTACATTCTTCGCTGTGTTTTCTTTTTAACTTTGCAGTCTGTCAGACACTAAGCACTGCATCTGATGTAGCGGTTTACTTATTTTAATGATAGTATACCCTGGTACTGAAGTGCGTCATTCCTAAAATCCTGCATCGGAAGGATTTTTATTTTCATAATCGTGTCGTCCTGTGAGAGTCCTCCTCCTCGACCTTTTACTGGTTTTCGAGACATGAGGCCAGAATGCCCTGACATGCAAATCTACAGTATATCGCTGTCAGAAACAGGCTGGTATCTCAGCCTATGTGGTGCTATGGTTGACTAGGTGAGGATTTTCGGCTGGATACTAAACCTGTTTAGTATCTGTATAGCAGAATATATTGTCAAAGTAATGCTGATTACATTACATTTCTGCGCTGTATAAACTACATGAAATAGATTTTGTTACTGCATTGCTAACATAATGCTTTTACTGTATGTGTCCAGTTAATAAATAAAAGTGCCACTTTTCACAGAAGAAGCCAGACCAAAAAAGTACAAGTTTATTATCAAACAAGATTTCTTAAAACAATGCCACTGTTTTCAGATGTTTTTCCAATAGTTTCACCATCATCAGTAACATTTTAAAGTATTCTTGTATTTTCCATTCTTTGTACTGAACACTGTTGGTGGGGTCCTGTACTCATAGAAAATATTTTTTTTATAGTATATAACTTCATAAATGTTAAGGAGTGGAAAATGTTTTGCTATTCTGAAGTTTAAAGATCAACCTGGAACAGTTGGTTAGGAGGCTTGTCAAATAATAAGAATAAGAATATAATGGTCTTCTTGGTCTGCTTTGTAAGTGACATACTGTACTGTTCAGTACTTGGTCATCAGGGAAACGTTCCACAGAGCCCCCTGCCCCCTTCTAACACCAGGCACCAATACAGCCAGCAGTGTT